GATTTTTCTGGCATACTGCTTCTTGATTAGTCTGGTATATTGCTGCCTTGTTGTTCCTGTTCTTCTTTGCTTTTCATATTTCATTCTGGTTGAAAGCTTGTGTGACTGTTCTATCTGTTTCTCTTCTTTATGGCAAATACTACTGATGACAATTCTGTTAGTTCTGCATCTGCTGTCTCCTCTAGACTGTTTTCTACTAAGAAAATCAATGTGACCTTAGATGATCACAACTACATGTTATGGCATCAACAAGTATTTCTTACCATTAAAACTCATAGGCTTCAAAAATACATAGACTCTAACATCTCGTGGCCTACACAGTATATAACTAGAGATGGTGTTGTTAGTCTGAATCCTGAGTATGAACTTTATGAAGAGCAGGATGGAGCTCTTGCTTCCTAGTTACTCTCCACTGTTAGTGAGGAGGTGCTACCTCACCTCATAGGTCACAATACTGCTGCTGAGATATGAAACACTTTGCATAGGTTGTATAGTGGCAAAACTACTTCTATATTTATGACTTATAGGAGAATGCTTCATTCTCAGAGGAAGGGGGACCTGAGTATGAGGGAGTACTTGATGAAAATCAAGACTGTCTGTGACAATTTAGCTAGCTGTGGTGAAATAATTTCAGAATATGAACATATTACTGCTATCTTGAATGGTTTACAACCTGAATTTGAGTCAGTTGTTACTGTCATAACTGCTACCCCTACACCTCCATATTTAAGGTCTGTCAGCACCATTTTACTGGATACTGACACAAGACAGACACAGTCCTTTAATCATGTCACTGCCTGTGCTCACATCACCACTCAAGCCACAGCTGATCAAGTTAACTCTAACAATGCTTCTTATTCTGAGTATCAAAACAAGGGAGATTTTGGTGATAATTCTGGTCATAATTTTAATAATAATACCAACAGTAATAGGGGTAGAGGTCGAGGACGTTTTTCATCCTCTAGACCGCAGTGTCAGTTGTGTGGTCGAATGGGCCACCTTGTTGAAAGGTGATATTACAGATTTGACATGAATTATAATAATGAATCATCTCGACCTGCTCAAAACAGTAATAATAAAGGCTACTCTGGTATTCAAGCCAATGTCAATTCATATAGTCCCAGCAATAGTAACATCAATCCCTATAATTCAGTATACTATGCTCACCCATCAACAGCTCCTCAAGCTCATCAGTTTTCTACAGCTCCTCTTGTTCACCAGTTTTCTGCAGTTCCTCAAAGTCCTCAGTTTTCTATTTTTCCACCACAAGTTTATCCCTTTAATGCTCAGCATCAAGTTAACTCAAACACTCACAACATGTCTTCGTTTCCTGCTGGAAATTTAAATCATCTCACTACTGTTACACAACCACAATCTACATCTCAAGCCTATATAGCTACACCTGAGACAGTGGATGATAATACTTGGTATCCAAACTCTGGAGCAACTCACCATATAACAAAAGACTTGAATAATCTACAGATTAAAGATACTCACCCTGGAATAGGTAATGTAATTGTAGGTAATGGTAACTCACTTCCAATACAGTATACTAGTCAGTCTCATTTCTATGTTAAATCTAATAAGTTTCACTTAAACAAGCTGTTGTATGTTCCTAATATTACTAAAAATCTACTCTCAGTTTCCAAGTTCACTCAGGACAATCAGGTTCTGCTTGAATTTTACCCTGATTTCTGTCAAGTTCGTGATCTGCAATCTCGGAAAGTGCTGTTAAAAGGAAGTCAAGATGGAGGGTTATACAAACTCAATATTGCTATGAATAATTCTTGCATGTCTGTTGGTGATGAATTGCATGTTAATAGTTCTAATAAAGAAAAAATTTCTTCAATAAGCTATCACATTGTTAATACTAGGGTGTCTGCAGATGTGTGGCACAAAAGACTTGGCTACCCTTATAAAGAGGTGTTACTTTAAACATTAAAGCATTACAATGTAACTCTTTCTGATATAAATAAAGAACAAATATTATGCAAAGCATGTCAACTTGCTAAGTCACACAAGTTGCCCTTTTATGATTCACTTACTGTTTATAAACAACCGTTAGAACTTATAGTTTCAGATGTGTGGGGTCCTGCTCTTGTGTATTTTAATGGGTTTAGGTTTTATGTTGCCTTCACTGATGCTCATAGTAGATATACTTGGATCTATTTTTTGATATAAAAATATGAAGTTAAATATGTTTTTCTTCAGTTTCATAGACAGGTGGAAAGATAATTTGGTGTCAAACTCAAGGTTTTTCAGTCAGATGGAGGAGGTGAGTTTGGTGCCCTTCAAGCTTACATGAAAGAATAAGGTATAGTACACAGACTATCCTGTCCTCATACTTCAGAACAAAATGGTTTAGTGGAAAGAAAACATAGGCAAATAGTTGAGGTAGGTCTTTCTATGCTAGCCTAGGCTTCCATGCCTTTAAGTTTTTGGAATGATGCTTTTTCTAGTGCTGTTTTTCTTATTAATCTGTTACCTATTCGTGTGCTGTCTGGTATTTCACCATATGAGAAAATTTTTCATAGAGCACCAGATTACAGTTTTTTTAAGAATTTTTGGTTGCATATGATACCCTTTTTTAAGACCCTATAATCAACACAAATTTTAGTTTCGTTCTTCTACCTGTGTCTTCTTGGGGTATTCACCTACACACAAGGGATATAAGTGTTTAGACTCTAGTGGTTGTGTCTATGTGTCAAGGCATGTTAGATTTGAAGAGAATGAGTTTCCATATCAGCAACACCAAAGTTTTCCCAATTTTTCTAATTTTTCTGGTTTAAACAGTCGAAAGCATCCAATTGTCAACGGTATTTCTCAAAACAGTTTCTTTTATCCTTCTTTTCTTTCTATTCCTACTAGCACACATAATCACAAATCAATCTTACCATCCACTACATCATCAACATCATTGTCTTCACCACATATGTCATCACCATCACAACAACTCATCGCATCTCCGCTTTCTTCTCCTAATGCATCTCATTCAATTTTACCATCCACTACACCATCAACATCATCATCTTCACCACATGTATCATCACCATCACCATATTCACCTCCACTTTCCCCTTTAAACTTATCACATTCAAATTTACCATCAACTACACCATCAACATCATCATCTTCATCACCTCTACCTTCACCGCCACCACCACCATCTCCACCTCGGCTAGTTCAGAATGCTCATCCTATGGTCACTCGTGGCAAGGCTGGTGTTTTTAAGCCTAAAGTGTTTCTTGCTGAGACAAGTCCTCAAGAGCCAGAAAATGTCTATGAAGCATTACAACATCCTGCTTAGTGTGAGGCTGTTCAAAGTGAGTATACTGCTCTTATGAAGAATGGTACGTGGGAGTTAAAGCCTCTGCCACCAACACGTAAAGCAATAGGCTGTAAGTGGCTTTTTAAAGTAAAAAATAAGCCTGATGGGTCAGTTGAAAGGCTTAAAACTCTTCTAGTAGCCAATGGGTACTCTCAAATGGTGGGAAGAGATTTTTCTTAGACGTTTAGTCCGGTGGTTCGAGCTAGTACAATAAGAACTATATTGGCAGTTGCTTTCATGAAAGATTGACCACTTAGACAAATTGGCATTAACAATGCGTTTCTCAATGGGAGGCTAACAGAGGAAATATACATGTGTCAACCTCCAGGTTTTAAACAGAGAAGTGAAGATGGGAAGGAGTTGGTATGTTGCTTGAAGAAGGCACTTTATAGGCTTAGACAAGCACCTAGAGCATGGTTTGAGACCTTGAGGAAGTTTCTGGTTGAAAACTTGAACTTTGTTGCTTCAAAGGCTGATTCTTCTATGTTTATCAGAAACTCGTCATGTTCTCAAGTGTTGTTAATGGTATATGTAGATGATATAGTCATCACGGGAAGTCAGGTGATAGAAGTGGATACCGTAGTGCAAGCAATTAACAAGAAGTTTTCTCTTAAGGATTTGGGTCAGCTAGAGCTGTTTCTTGGAATGCAAGTAGAACATTCTCAAAGAGGCTTGTTTTTGAATCAGAAGAAGTATATTTCTGAGCTACTAAAGAGGTCAAGTCTAGATGAATCAACTCCACTCCTACTCCCATGGTTGTTGCTCCTAAACTCAAAGTAAATGATGGACAGTTGTTTGGTGATGTCCATCTTTATCGTAGTATTGTAGGAGGCGTGCAGTACATATGTTTAACAAGACCTGACATAGTCTATGCGGTTAATAAGGTGAGTCATTACATGAACAGTCCATGTGATACTCATTGGAGGGCAATGAAATATATACTGAGGTATCTAAGTGGGACACTTGAGTATGGGCTGGTTTTCTCAGTTAGAAGAATGAGTTTGTGAGTTTAGTGGTTCCAGAATGCATCTTAGAGGTTCTAGAAGTTTACTAAAAGCTAAGGCTGTTAGTAATTAGTTGAGTTTGTTAACAGTCAGATACAAAGTCTGTTAAGAATATAACTACCTTGTAAGCTGTATATAAGATTGTATGGTGTGCAGATCAATGATATTCATCTCCTTCATTCAATTTACTTGCATTTGTTAAGCTTTCACCATGGGTATCCAACACGGTATCATTCGCCAAACAATCATGACTTTATTTTGTTTTCTTCCGCTGCATAGAAGAGGAGGAGAAAATGCCATCGACATCTTCAGCAGCGGCAACGGCTACTAAACCGGTGTCGTTCACTACCAGCATGGATCCAGCAAATCCTGTTGGGTTCTTGGAGAAGGTTTTCGATTTCATTGCGGAAGAGAGTGATTTCCCTGTGAAAATGAACGACTCAGATGTATCCAAGCCTATCATGTAAATGGTGAGCTTCATCCACCAAGAAGAGGAGGAGAGAGCTAATGAGATCTCTGTTTCAGTTGATGTAACAACAATTCCATTTTGTTTCTTTACGGTGAGGAAGAAGAGGGGTTTGGCAAAAGGAATCAAGAGTGCAATTCCTAGAGTTCAAACGAACAATGTACCAACAAGATGGTCACTTACAGAGATAAAATAAGCTACAATGGGGTTTTATAAGAGCCGAATCATCGACATAGGTGGTTCAGCAGTTGTTTATAAAGGTTATGTTCTGTCGGCTGAAACTGTCGCGGTGAAGCGGTTTGATCAGTTTAACGAAAAAGCATTCACTCGTAATCTTTTCAGCACAAAGTTTGCCATTATGACCCGTTGGCTAAACCATTGTAACTTGGTTCAGCTTCAAGGATGGTATTGTGAGGAATCTGAGTTGGTCTTGGTATATGAGTACTTGTCAAATGGAAGCCTCTACCAACACATTCACAAAACCTCAGTTTCATCAATAACTACCCTTTCATGGATCTTAAGATTAAAGGAAGTTCTCGGGGTTGCTTCTGCTCTTTCATCTTTACATGAAGAATGTGAAAGACAAATAATACATAGAGATGTGAAAACTTGCAACATCATGCTTGATGATGAGTTCAATGCCAAGCTCGGAGATTTTGGTTTAGCCGAAGTGTATGGACATTGTTGCGTTTCAAGAGATGCAACGATACCAGCCAGGACGATAGGATATCTGGCACCCGAATACGTTTATACCAGTGCTTCGACTGTAAAAACCGATGTTTACAGCTTCGGAGTGGTTGTCCTGGAGGTGGCTACGGGAAAGAGGCCTGTGGATGAGAATTGAATCGTAGCGGTTGACTGTATTTGGGACTTGTGGGTGAAAGGAAACTGATTGAGGGCGCTGATTCAAGAATGTTGTGCAGGTAAAATGTTTTAGAGATGGAAAGATTGTTTGTGAGAACACCTTGGATGCACGGTTGGATGTTGCATTCAATAAAAAGCTTCCAGAGATACGCAAGTGGCTCTTTTTTCATGTTGGTGCTTGAAGGGTAGATGATGAAAAGGATCCAGTTTCTATACTGGTACCAATGGAAAGGCTATCACCGCTATTTCTGCATAGTAGTATAATTCTTTTGTGTGTGTAAACAGAAGTTTAATTTTGTATTCATTTTGTTTTGTTGCTCCTATCTCAAAGTGTCATGGGACTTGAAAGCTTCACAGCTAAGAGTCCATAAAAAAATTTGTCAAGGAACCTTGTAAAAGAGGGTGAAGAAGAAAGAAATGAAGGTGAATCAGAAGTACGAAAATGAAGCATCAGCACTTTTAATTCAAAGTGAACGGAAGGAAGCATCGACACTTTCGATTCAATAAGAACGAAAGGAAGCATCAGCACTTTCGATTCAAAGTGAATGAAATGAAGCATCAGCACTTTCGACTCAATTGTTCATCTTTTTGTCAAGAAGGTTGAGAAAGTAGGGAGAATGTTAGAAGAATGAGTTTGTGAGTTTAGTGGTTCCAGAATGCATATTAGAGGTTCTAGAAGTTTACTAAAAGCTAAGGCTGTTAGTAATTAGTTGAGTTTGTTAACAGTCAGTTACAAAGTCTGTTAAGAATATAACTACCTTGTAAGTTATATATAAGATTGTATGGTGTGCAGATCAATGATATTCATCTCCTTTATTCAATTTACTTGCATTTGTTAAGCTTTCACCGTGGGTATCCAAGTACATGAACAGTCCATGTGATACTCATCTGAGGGAAGTGAAACATATAATGAGGTATCTCAGTGGGACACTTGAGTATAGGCTGGTTTTCTCACCAACTAAATATTTGAGTCTTGTCTGCTACACTGATGCAGACTGGGCAGCCTCGGTGGAAGACATGCGATCCACAACGGGCTATTGTGTGTACCTTGGAGGCAATCCAATTGCTTGGTGCTCTAGAAAATAGAGTGTTGTCTCCAGGTCAACATCAGAAGCAGAGTATAGGAGTCTTGCCAATTATGTTTCTGAGTTGGTTTGGATTGAGCAGCTACTTGGTGAAGTAGGGATTAGTGTAACTGGAAAGCCAGTTGTATGGTGTGATAACACCTCTACAATCTCTATGGCAACAAATCCAACTCATCATGCTCGCATAAAGCATGTAGAGATTGACATTCACTTTGTGAGGGAAAGAGTTTTGGCTGAACAACTTAGTGTTAACTTTGTTCCCTCTGCAGAACAGGTAGCTGATATACTCACCAAACCGTTGCCTCCTGCAGTGTTTGGTGACATGTGTTCTCGCCTTGGTATAAAGTCTTGGGAAGAAGTCAATGGTACCAGCTATGTTAAGCAAATCTAAAGATGCCAGGAAAATGTTGAATTGACAATTCAGATTAGTAGAAAACCCAGAGAATATTAGAGTATTATGTAGTTAAGGTTGTTATAACTGTTTTGAAGGTTGTTGTAACTGATGGTTAATCTGTTATAATTCTGTTGGGCTAATCAGTTGGGCTTGTTGATAATATAAATAGTGGGCCTGTAGACTATGAAAAACGCTAAGGACACTTGAAGAAGAGAAAGAACAATTATCCAAGCAATCAAACACAAGATAAGAGTTTTTCATTATTATTTCAACTTTCTCTTGTAAATATTTTGTTCTTGTGAGCTCAATCTTGTAAACACCTACCTTAGAGAGGTTTTCTTGTTTACATCATTAATCCTTTTATAAAGGGGAAAAGTTCTAGCTTATCCCGTGTAAAAGCTAGGGAAAGGTTCTAGTTTAGCCCGGAAAAACTAGGGAGTTGTAAGGTTATCTCTTTGTCCTCAAAAGAAAGAACAAATTAGTGAATTTGTTGGAAAATCTTTGGTGAGCAGCTAAGGTAGTGGATGTAGACTTTGGTTGAGAAAGTCGAACCACTCTAAATTGCTGTGCAATTTTCTATCTTTCAATCTCCTTACTCCCTAAACACAAAACTGTTCTTACCCCTCTTTGCAAACCGTTCCGGTTGTAGAATCGAGCTTCAAAAAATCCCAACAATTGGCATCAGAGCCTAACTCGTTAAGAAGATTTAACCACCTTGAGACGATCCTCGATGAAGCTCTACCAATTTCCGACACAACCGACAAAGAAATGACTTTTCCTCCGGTGCTTATTATCTTGAAGAATATCCCATTATAGATTCGCAACCGGTCAACAAGCCACCCTTATTCAATGGAACAAATTATGCACATTGGAAGAATAAAATGATGTACTTTATTCAATCCTACAATCTAGCTTAACTTTAAGGCTATACATATTCTATTATGTGCTTTAGGCCCAAATGAATATGGAAGAATCTCATCTTGTTCCAGTGCCAAAGAGATTTGGGATAAGCTCCAAGTCACTCATGAAGTAACCGATGAAGTGAGGGAATCAAAGAAAAGTCTTTTCAACCATAGCTACGAGAAATTCAAGATGAAACCCGATGAAGACATCAAAGCTATGACGGATAGATTTTCTGTGATTGTCAACGGTCTCAAGGGATATGGAGAAGTAATCCCTAATGAGAAGCTTGTGAGGAAGATGATCTACTCTCTTCCAAAGGAGTGGCAATCGAAAAAGACAATCATTATCGAAGCAAGAAACTTAAAGTCTCTCACTCTCGACGAGCTAATTGGTTCCATTCTCACTCATGAGATGATGGTGAAGGAAGATGAAGAAAGGGAAGAGAAGAAAAACAAGAAGAAGGAGGAGGTAGGCATTGCCTTCAAGTCCACCAATGAAAGCTATCAAGATTCAAGTGATGAGGTGGATGAAGACGATGATGAACAAGAAGAAGAGATGGTCAAGCTCTTGAAGGAACTCAAAAGATTCATTATTTCCAAGGAAGTGAAACATGAATCAACCAAGAAGAAGAGTCCCCCGATATGTTTCAATTGTCAAAGAAAGGGGCATGTCAAGTATGAATGCCCTCTTCTAAAGAAAAAGGGGAAGAAGGCATTTGTTGCATCTTGGAGTGATGAAGATGATTCCAATGATGAAGATGAAGTAGTCAACCTATGCCTCATGACCACTCAAGAAGAATTTGAGGTATCTTCTAACTCAAATGAATTTAATTCATTTACTTTTGATGAGTTACAAGATGCTTATAATAGGTTGTATTTGGGATTTGAGACCATGAATTCCAAATATACGAAATTAATTTCAAAACTCAAAATTAAAGATAATTTGATTTTGAAAGCAAAAGTTGATTTTAAAAATCAAAATGAAATTTTGAAAAATAATTTAGAGCTTTCAAAAATCAAAATAAATGATTTAGAAAAAGAAAAAATTTGAGTTAGGAGTTAAGCTTGAATGCTTAACAAAAGAAAAATATTTAATTTCTAAAAATAACCTATTATGTTTAAAAATGGCAAAATACTCACATTGTCATTTTTATGGTCATTTGGAACATACTTGTCCTTTAAAGAATGGAAAACATTTTAAAATTAGACAAGTATGGGTTCCTAAGGGAACAAGGGGCATTGAAACTAACGTCCAAGGATCCAAAGAAATTTGGATACCAAAATCGAAATGAATGTCTCTTGTAGGTGTGTGGGAGCAATGGTGATGAAGATGATGATATTCAAGATGCTCTAGCCACACATGAAAAGGAATGGGTAACCTCTAAGCTTAATGTTTTTAATTTTAGTTATTTGGTTGCTCATGGATTTATGCATGCATGAGTTTTGATTTTAAATGATTATGCATTGTTTTTAATCTCATGTATGTTTAAAAAATGGTTATGATGAACATTTTAAATTTTTAATAAATTTTTTAGTTCATCATAATAAAATTTTGGTCAAAATTGGTTTTAATGCAAATAATATCTCTCTAATAATTGATATCAATTTTTTTAAAAAAAAACTTTGATTTTACAAATTTTAAAATTTTGACCTAAATTTGAATGTTTATGCATGTGGTTTAAATGAAAATGATACCTCTCTAACAATTGATATCAAAATTTTCAAAATGCATAACATTTTTGGAAAACTTTATGCATATGCACTTAATTTTAACAAATGGTATTGATATCAAATTTCAACAATTGGTATTGCATAAAGTATTTTAGTCTTGGATATATTGAATTTCATGTGCTACTAACATATTTGTTATTCTTTGTAGAAATTCAATTTCTTTTTAAGTGTCAAGTTCTTAAAGCTAAATTTTGATTGGAATGCATTTATTGAGGGGGAGCTTTGATTTTTCAAATGATTTTTAAATGTCAAATTTACCACTTACTCTCCAAAGTTATTTTGAACTTCAAAGATTGAATTATTTTTTATATAACAAAAAAGGGGAGAAGTTTGATTTGAAAAATTCAATTTCTAAATGAAAAAGGGGGAGCTTAATATTTTCATATATTTTCCAACAATTGTTAACAATTGATATCTTTTTCATTAAACAATTTATTAAGGGGGAGTTTTGCCAAAAACAAATTTTTAAATGTTTTGTAATATCAAAAAGGGAGGAGATTGTTGAACTATGTTTTGATATAAAAATTTAAGGCAAAATGGTTTTTGGACTTGAATTGAATTTACAAAATGTTTTTGGACTTAATTGAATTTATTCAAAGTTTTTAAAAGGTTTCAAAAATAATTCAAAGTCCATTAAATTCGGATTTGAGCCAAAATGCTAAAGGGTGTCAAAGTGCATCCATGCACCTCTGCAGTGCATCCATGCATCCCTGCAGTGCATCCATGCACCTGCACTAGTGCATCCATGCACCTGCACTAGTGCATCGATGCACCATGCAGTGCATCCATGCACTCAAACACCGAATGCAATTAGTGCATCGATGCATCCTTATGTGCATCGATGCATCAAGGCTGTGCATCGATGCATCCTGCTCTGCATCTATGCACGAAGGCTGCAACGGCTAGTAACGGCTAGTTTATTTGAATTTAATGAAGGGGTATCGATGCACCATGATAGTGCACCGATGCACCATGATAGTGCACCGATGCACCATGTTATGGGCAGCCTTTTTGAGTAGAAAAATCATCCCCAAACGGCTCCAAAACATCCCCAACGGCTATATACAACATCAAACACATTCCAAGCTATAAATACAAGCTAAGGACACTTGAAGAAGAGAGAGAACAACTATCCAAGCAATCAAACACAAGAGAAGAGCTTTTCATTCTTATTTCAACTTTCTCTTGTAAATATTTTGTTTTTGTGAGCTCAATCTTGTAAACACCTACCTTAGAGAGGTTTTCCTGTTTACATCTTTTATCCTTTTGTAAAGGGGAAAGGTTCTAGCTTATCCCGTGTAAAAGCTAGGGAAAGGTTCTAGTTTAGCCCGGAAAAACTAGGGAGTTGTAAGGTTATCTTTTTGTCCTCAAAAGAAAGAACAAATTAGTGAATTTGTTGGAAAATACTTGGTGAGGAGCTAAGGTAGTGGATGTAGACTTTGGTTGAGAAAGTCGAACCACTCTAAATTACTGTGCAATTTTCTATCTTTCAATCTCCTTACTCCCTAAACACAAAACCGTTTCGACCCCTCTTTGCAAACCGTTCCGGTTGTAGAATCGAGCTTCCGAAAATCCCAACATGTTCAGATCTATTTCGGGTCTCGGTCCGGGTATATTAGTTCAGGTAATTAGGGTCGGGTCAAATTTGTCAGGGCTAAATAAGATGTTAGCATCTCATACAAAATTATCTTTTTATACCTATGAATTTAGATGAAGTGGATGCAGAGATGGACTCAAGAGGGAACAAGTGACCGTGATCGTCCCCTTAAACATTTCAAATTTTGTCATATTTTAGATTTTTTATTTAATATCTTGTTGATAATATTTTTTACCCTTAAAAGTTTATAAATTTGTTATTTTTAAAATTTTATAAATTGATCTTTAATATAAAATATTAAGTTGGTATGCTAGTGAAAGAAAACACAAAGGATAAAAAACAGTTGGGGGAAGATAGGATATTTTTGTCGGTTGCGAACTATAGCTTAGATCTTTGGTCCCCACATTCCATTCACCATGTTTCTTTCATACTGCTAATTTCTCGTTTTCCAGAGGAGAACCTGTGTTAGAACACGTACATTCCATTGGAGAGCATGAGTCGGCTGGCGAACAATTCAGGGAATTTCACTTGCACGGGTTTTCCTCTTCCAACCATGAATGACACAATTTTGTCCTTACTTTATGATGGTACGTAGAGAAAGGACGAAAGATTATCTACACTTTCTATATTCATAAGCACTTCTTTCTTTCTTTTACCCATTTTCAGTGCATATAAATTCATTGCATACATGTAGGCCTGTAAACGAACCGAACGCACACGAACGGAGGTATGTTCATGTTTGTTCATTTAATAAATAAACGAACATA